GAGGGCAGTAGACACCGTCTCCGATTGGATAATAAGACGATTGGTGGACCAGGAAGGGTTTTAGCCGCCCTTGCGAGAAAGTTGCTAACGGAATATACCAGATGTGAAGAAAACCAACTTTCTAGGCTAACACGTGGTAGACAATAAACGTGAAGGGAAATCTAAGACAAGAGATACTCGCTTGGTCCGAAGGACCTTAACTATGAAAATGCCAAGACCCCTGGTGGGTACTTAAGACTATTGAGGGTGCGCACCAAGAATGTGCAGACATCTGGGTGCCATCCTGTCCGTGGTGTGTGGCCTGGTCTCTGATGTGAATCGACGTTACAGCATATTGGGCACGTCGGTGTTGCGCTTTGACGGCGTAGCGCTTTATATCACGAAAGTTCCGTGACACGTGCCGCCACAGATACATGCGAATTTGTAATTAGAAGAAAACGTTCAATGGACATTTGTTTTCTTGCTCTGGGCAAAAACGTCCATCCATCTCGCACACGATAATATACCAATTAATAACATTTCTTTATTAATGGTAGATTGTACGTTACTGTGCTACAAACACCTAGTTGCTTCGTAATTTGTAAAATTTACTTATTGAACTTTACTTTGTTGGTTATCAAACTTGTTAGCCTTGCAGCGAAGAATTTATCGATACTAATACTTTGCAAGTTGTAAAATTTTACTAATAACACTTGATCAATTACTCTTATGCTTGAAAGAACCTTTACAAAGGCCGAGTCCGCTAGATTAACGAGAGGAAAAGAAAGTTAATAAGTAGATAATGAGTTATTCAGGAGAACAAACGAGAGAACAAAAGCGACTCACTTTACATATAACGTGTAATGAAAATTGCATACAGGTATCGATATCGGTAATTAAAGAGTGTAACACCATATCACAATTAAACGGTGTAATGGATGGCGAATAAAAGTAAATGGAACGAAATCAACACGCGTTACTTTCACTAGAAGCACAACCTGGCGTACGGTTAAGCTCAATAGAAAGGAAATTTCGCCACCGGACCATGTAAAATATCTACACGGGCATTCATATCGACAGGCAGCTCATATGGAAGAAACATATCAGAATTAAATGGAAACAACGTAGTCTTAGGATGAGAAAATTGTACTGGTTACTAGGGAAAAGAATCTCAGTTAACAATCTATGTGCAATGAGATTCTAATATGTGTGAAGTTATAATTAAACCAGTGTGGACCTGTATGAGATACAAATTTCAGGTTCTGCTAGTCATTCGAACATAGGAATATTACAAGCGTTTCAGTCTGAAGCACTAAGAATTATCGCACACTCGCCATAGTATGTCACAAATGAGATATTCTAACACGAATATTCCTCGGAACACGAGCAGTGAAAGAGGAAATGGCGAGATTTAGCAGAAAATACTCAGACATATTAGATTCGCACAGATCTCTAGTGTGTCTGAGTATTTTGCGCTAATCTGCTCGACAATAGCTCGACAAATACGCAGCGTTAAAAGATACCACGCGTCTCATCATGCCGCTGTTTTTCAAATCAGCCAAACATACCTTTGCATCGCATATTAAGTAATCGCGGATTTTGTCATTAGATGGTAATGAGTTAGTTGCCAACCCAATATTTGTAGCCAGAAAACATAGTGGAACACATTGTGTATTGCCAAACTCCTGCCAAAACACTGTACCAATATCACGTTTGTCTGTAACCTTCTGCAAGTAAGAGATTAATAGCAAACTTGGTAGTATATAAAAGAAAAAAAAATGGTAATTGAAAGACGTAGCGCGAAAGGTAGCACGCGCAAGAAAATAAAGAAACAAGTACGTAGACCAACGAGGAAAAAACAAAGTCAGAGAGAAGTATACTAGAGGAATGCATGAGAAAATTGGAGTAGCATCGTTACTCCTTTCATAGCGACACCCTTAAATCTAAAAACACTCGCTGTATATGGAGCAGGACAATCGTTATTCTGTTCTAACGCGTACTACACATGTATACATATGTACGTATGTATGAAATATGTCTGGCGATTAATCGATTGTTCGAAAGATCGTATCGTAGAAAAGGAGGCTTCGTTCAATCGCAATGTTGAATCACAATATGATATTAACCCTTTGCTCTCCTAAGTCGAGAGTGACTCGACATCAGTTTTTATCTCAACACCTCCTTTGTCGAGTCCCACTCGACATCCTTTCAGCCCCACTTTTTGTGTGAAAAAAAAATCAGGATTGCATCCTGGAAATTGTTCCAAGATATATCATACACTTAAAAATCACAAAATACAACAATAGTGTGAATAAAACTGATGTTTCAGTGAATTTGTTTCTTCCTTTATTTATTAAAACTGTCTTATTTTTTAGTTCAAGTAAATTTCAAATAAAACCCTTAAAAGCGCTGGGAGCTGCTGCTAAAGAAATTGAAATAAAATTCAGAGTGCAAAGGGTTAACGATATGAATTTGATGTCGCAAATCACCGTTGTCGTTTATCACAAATATCGAACGACGGGGCTGTTCTTCGATGAAAACAGACGTTTCGCTTGTGTATAGAGAAAGCAGTCTCATCCGGAAATTTCAGCGATAAAAATTCATCGAATGAATGAAGATTCCACGTGGTTAAATATTACGCAAAATGCTTTAATTACTTAAAAAGTGATTAATACAAAGTGTATTAACGAGAACGGTCGACCAGGTCGGTTTCACGCGGAGACACGTGTATCGGATACGCGTCTACCGCGATAGCAGTCCAACAATAAGAGCAAATCGAGTGTCGTGTTGTCTGCACTAAACTCCTTCGAGGATTGAATATTTACTAAGCTCGTACGTTTGCCTCGACCGCACCGTCCTCTTCTTAATTAACGTCGCGTGATTACGCTTGTATTTATCGAAAAGAGACGTTTGTCTCTCGTGCTCCTTCGACTTTCAAATATGTACGTATTTACGAATCGAATTCTGCGCATTTGTTATTATTGAGATATGTATAATTTTATGTGCTACACTAGATTGGCCTACACTAGATTGAGTGTGTGGAAGTATGTGTGTGCGCGGCGTCTCGAAAAACAGACGAATGTAACTGTTCCGTTGGCAGTGTGGTATGGAAGATGTCAAGACAAAGAAAGTGCTGAGATGCGTGCAAATGTGTTTATTAAATAAATCTAAAACTATTTTAATATGAATTCTAAGTGTAACCTGAATGTTCCTTTAATCTTATTTCGGCAATTAAGATCCACAATTCCCAACTGTTATGTTAGACGAAGGAGAGAGAGAAGAGAAAGAATTGCTAAGAGTTTAATTTTCCTATACGTAACGACTATCAACGAAACTCGACTATCGTGTAATATACAGTGGCTCATGGAAGTATTCGAACGCTTAGATATGCAAACTTGAATGGCCGAAATAATGTACATTAAAGTAATTTGCTTAGACAAGTAGACGTCAATAGGAAGATGGAAGTGTTAAAATTGCCAATAAAATTTGAAAAGTTGATTCAAGGTAGGATTCAAGGTCCTACGTAGGTAGGAGTTATGATACATTTATTAGAAACACGCGTTGTAAGTGACTCAGAAATGTATTTGAACGCTACATACGTACATATTACAAAGAAAAAGAAATTAGCGCAACAACTTTTAAGTACGAAATTTAAATCAGCAATCTGACGGATGTTTCGATAATTATTTCGAGATATCCAATTTCAATCTATTATGTTTTTTAATATGTCGTAGAAATAAGCATTTTGAACACTTTTTTACTATACATATAACCTGCGCTCGGCCTTAGTTTCCGATATATTCACCAACATATTCCTGACATCTTTACTTCGATGTGCGTTATACGTCACTTAGGTTTGGGTCTGGACTTATCTATGGGCGTCACGGAAACGCGAGTTTCTCGAAGAAAATTATCTTGCAAATCCACATGCAGAGAAACGAACGGAAAAGCGTTACAAACATTGGAAACAAGGGACGTCGGACGGCAACGACAAAAAGAGGATGGCGAAGAAGAAGCCGCTGAAAACGCGGAAACACAGGACTTTGGCTTGGAAAGCATAGAACACGAAGCAGGGGAAAAGGTATAAACGAGATATAAGCGAACACGAGGAGAAAAGTTGATCCTGGGTTGGTACGTGAGTCTCGCGACAACGTTGCTGGATGCACGAAAAGGGAACTGTCGCATCGCAACACGCCACGGTCTGCCGTTCCAATTTCTTTATATGCATGACGCTTAGAACGCGACTACGTTCGCATTCGCGGCGTTACAGCGGGCTTGTCCACCCTGATATCTCTCTGGTATGTACGTGAAATTTTTCGAATCATCTTTGCGACAAGCTTTCGAGAAATGCAGCAAACGCGCCTGCTTCCGTTGAGAAACGCGAAACAGTTTTAAAAGAGAGAAGAAGGAAAAGTAGACAAACATTCGTTGGAAATTGGTTGAATTCGTTTCTTTCGATCGTTTACGCGATTTGCGGATGGATCTGATATAAGTAAAGGAATTTTAACGAACAACGTATGAGAGTAATACTTTATGGCAATTAGATTATTTTCGACGAGAAGGTCAGTTAAATTAGACGAGCGGAGCTGCTATGGAAAAAGTACGTACATACGTTTGATATATAAAAAGTTGGACGAGGAAAAATCACGAGTGAAAATGTATTTACCTAGAAAATTACAATAATTTGATATATCGTCCGCGTTATTTGTTTTTTTTTTAAATTGTAGAATAATATCGTTGAAGAAATTCTATTCGCGATAAGATATCGTATTATTTTGCGTAATATAATCTGAAAATTATTTTATCACACGAGTAACCATATACTTTTTATTACAACAAACAAGAATGTAGGAATAAATTTGTATTCGATTGGATCGCGTTGCATCGATCTTAAAACTTGGATATCGAGGTGTATAAGAAAAATGATCTTTTCGTGTTGTATACGTATACTTCAGTGAAACGCGGAGGAAAAATAATTTCCGAGTATCACGCGATATTATTAATTATCTCGCAATTCGCCGACTGACATTAACGTTGAAAATTCGCGTATTCGGATCAGGCTTTATCCACGAAGCCTACCCCACGAAGCCTAGAAAATTGCCGTGTTCTCATCCAACTAACTCCAATTAGGAAAGCTGATAGAAGCATGCAATGCGAAACGCCGCGCATCACTTCAATTCGATGCACGAAAAGGGGGAAACAGGAAATAATAACAGGTGCGTAATAGAAAATGGGATTTGCCAGGCCTCGTACACGTTAAGGCGATATGAAGTTGAAATACATTTATAATAGAACACAGGATTATGGCTATAGATACGATCAACAATTTTTGTTATCAGGCTGTTTCATGAATTTTCACGATTTTAAAATATATTAAATAAAAAACATACTTGTTCGTTTGATGATAAATTCGTTACAGTTCCTTTCACGTTTCTCATCTCTGTCATACGTAATCCTTCGGTGAAGCATTCTTTGTTTCGCTTTTCTTTCTCATTCTTGCGAGAAAAGTTCCTTTCGAAACTTTTCCGACTAATACTATAAATTAGAGCTCCAACTTTAAATACCTTTTCCCCCGCGAATGGTCAGGGATGTTATCTTCAACTACATTAAGCGAAAGTAATAATCCCCATGAAATGTTCCTTTTCAAACAAATTGAATAATCGTTTTAATCTCCAACATTCTGTTAAAAACTTTTCAAAAATTTTCAGCAAATTACTATTAAATTAAAATTTCAATACACCGAGGATATTGGAACAGTCATTTTCGCTGGTCATCGAATAAGACGGTGATAACATGACAATACCGTGAAAACAATATCGACGACTGTTATCGCGTTTGGGTATTGTGTACCATTAATTTATTCGTCTATTTTATTTTTGATTGTTAAAGCTATTTAAGTTTGCTTTGAATGGATACGAGCGTGTTGTTGTGCTGATATGCTTTCGAAAAGGCAATGATCGGAAAACGAAAACAGATTAATCAGAGAACACAAGGAAAATACAGCTGAATAAATTTGCGCTGTCCAACTTTCCAATATTCCAATTCTCTTGGAACTATACGTTTCTTTCATTCTTTACAAAAATATCCCTACGATATTTTACAGTTTTTATAAATCGAGACACGCGATGTACGATGTTATACGATCTCGTTATGCGACCTAAGAGACTTATCGTTACGTTATAGATGCGCTTGTCTCGTCAATCGATTTAACGCTAAACTAATCGTTGCCGACTTTTACGATTTCAAAGACACAGGGTTACATTAAGGCGTGGAACTTTGAAAATGAAGAACAGGAAGACTCGCAGGCGTTCAAAAGTTGAAGAACACAACGGTACTTGAAGTGCTCTTTAGATTTAACTTATGAAGCGACGTTACGTCAACAGCTTTTAACTTCCGCAAACTAAGAGATCTAGCGCTACGCCGAGAACTTCTAATTTTCACAACTAAGAAACGCTGTACCTACACCGAGAGAGCTTCTAATTTTCGCATTTCAAAGGTTGTAATAGAGTGCGTCGAGTACTCTTCGCTTTAACTTGGCTACGTGAAATCGTGTAGAACTACCTCCATGACCCTTAACTTCCACAGTCTAAAACACATATCGTTATATTAAAGAAGCACGGTTAATAGACCAAGTAGAAGATTTACAATTTATAAAAAATAAAGTGTAAGAAGTACGATACCGATCGAAGATTCTAAATATCATTAACCGTTTACCATCGCCGAGTATGTATTTTCACCAACGAAAATCGTGAATCAGTAAATACAGGAATAACGAATCAAACGTAGGCCGGTTCCTTGCGTTAATAATTCGCCTATTTTATTAGGTCGTCCGAAAAGTTTCTTTCGTTTTATAAGGAAATAATGGATGCACAACATTTTCCGTTTTATATTGTTTTATCGAATTACGTATGATCCATTTTGTTTTATCAAGATAAAGATCACAACCTTCGACAGATTAGGTTTCATGTTTATATACAGATGCGTCGTTGTAAAAGACGTGTCTGTAAAAGAAGGACATTTTTCGGACAACCTAATACTCACCGATAAAATTTCTATACCACTTCCGTATCTTTTTTCGAAACGCACGCACGATCGACCACGATAAACCAAATAAAACCCGTACTATTGGGTTGGCAACTAAGCGATTGCGGATTTTGTCATTAGGTGGTACTGACAAAATCCGCAATCATTTA